CGAACTCTGTCCCTGACTGAAAAAGAACACAGGGGTGCAGTAATGGATTAACATCAACACTGACGACAGAAGACACTCTTTGTGTTATGAGTTTTGTGAAGAGTCACCTTACCTTTCAATGATGCCTTTTTTAGAACTTTCATTGCATATAATTGACTGGCATCTGGACCCACAATTTTTCTTACTAGAAAAACCTGGTGGAGGAACAACAATTTAGGATGATAAACAGCGAGAGGTCTGTTTGATTTAGTGTGCTCTCACCTTGCCAAAAGAGCCCTGACCCAGGACCTTGAGGAGTTCAAACTGTGATGGATCTGCTTTCTCACAGCCTTCTTTCACATGGTGAGTGATAGGAATCTCCTTGTACGCCCCGTCATCCTGCACACACAGGAACAAGTGAGCAAGATCCAGTTCACCTATGCCAGTCTGCATGCATTGGTACCCCAGACCTTACTTACACAGTGCGTGTAACACTCTCCCTCCTCCATGGGCTCATCCATGATCTGATGTCCATTGACCTGCAGCCGCAAAAACAAATTACATCATTGGAGTCGGAAAAAGCAAAACTCAAGGAAAGCTTGTGCAGGCGTGCTTTCAACTGAACAGGACTGCAGCGCCTGCACGCCCACGTGAATGATGAACAAATCAACAGATGAAAACGATGAGTCACATGCAATAACTGGGCATTTTCGCCAACATGTAGTTCTGTTTGTTGACAAACATCATGGAATCCATGCTCGACAAGTACACCTCGTGTACAGCAGCATAGGTCCCTTGTTATTTATTACCAGTCCGTAATCCCAGACTGGAGCAGACACAGCATGCCTCAATGGCTCTTGTGATCAATGTTCCCTGTAATTTTCCATGTGTCTGAGCATTTGTTAGACAATGGTGGGCAACATCGAACATTTAAACAAATTCCAAAACCAGTACCATGCGTGTCCAAAACCTGAGATTATACTAAATTACACCATGTAGATAGGTTACAGTCAAAAGAGATGATATCGTTGAACAGAAATAAAATGAGCCCAAGTTTGTAAGAGTCGGTTAAGGATTACGGCTTTTATGACACTGTTGTTAAACAGCCCAAATAAACTTGAATTGTCCAGAAATCAATAAAAGTGACTTTTGCATTAATAATCCTCAGCAAGGATTTTAAACACTTTACCTAGCCCAGTGAATATGACAATATTATCAAATCCACATTCTTTGGAATAGATAACGCCCTAATATTCATTCAAACTCTTTGGTGGGAAATATATGCTAATTTAATATGTCAGATTGGCCAATATTACATAACTGACATTTTACCAAAAAGAAGCAAAAGTAGTGGGGTGGTGGTGCTCTGACTATGTTTGCTTGGGCCAACCAAATAACTAGCTACGGCCCAGGTCTGAGCCAACCAAAAACTCATTTATGGCTTATGCATCGATGACGCGAGGCAGCGCTGAGCTGCAAGAACTCAGTGGATTGCATTGCACATTGGCCATCAACACTTCATACACACGTTGCACTAAGATTGTGTAGAGATATTCTCACTCAAGCATCAGGTTTCTTTTCCCGGTTGGCAAGTACTGCACTTGTCACCATGGAAATCGACAAACCACAACTTGACAGTAGTCATATAATTAATAGAGACCCAGCCCCCTGCCGAGGTAATGTTATATTAGTAAGGCACATCAACGTTAATATCACTGCAAAGAAGCCGCATATACGACCTGAGACTAGGTCAAATTAACCAAGCCCGTGTGATAATAATTCCATGCATGACACCGGTGCGCATTTCAGTTTGAATTGCTCCCACTATCACCGTTTTTAGTCCTTCTGGCGCATTTTCTTTCCGTTTCGTTAACCACAAGGGCCAAAACAACTTTTCAGGTTTTTTTTTTTTTTTTTTTGGTATGAGGCAAATATGAAAATGGAAATACCAATAGAGCTCAGGTTTGACTTTTTTTCTTTTATTTGGATGCTTTCTATACATTTGATGTGCAGTGAGCGGGTGAGAGCAGTGCACAATTGTGCACGCATGGAGTTTAGATGAAACATGGCTTGTGAAGTCTTCTGCATTTACGCAGCCTCTTTATGAAAATGTCACTCTGATACTGTACATGGTAGTCACAATGAGTTTGTTATCAATGACAACAGAGAACTGTGTTTTGTCTCTCTTCGACAAATTAATAAAACACAATGTAATGTTAACAACTGAAAGGCCACTCAAATGCACGAACAAATATAAATGTGTGCATGAAAAATATAATCTTTATCACAAAGCAGCGCTGCAGAGGTTTTGCATGTTTCACTGACTGCGTGATGTATTCTGTCTACTGTGTTTGTGTGTGTTGAATTCCATCAAGCCTCTGAAGAGAGGGGATGAGTCATAACACTACGCAAGCCCACTCAGTGGGTGGAGCCACTGACGTTCACTCAGATACACAGAACAGAGGCCAACAAATCACTTTCCAATAGGGTTGAACTACAGAAAGCTGTCAGAGCATTTGCCTTGAAAATATAACAAATGAAAGATAAAGCAAGATACAACTGAGGGATATCAATATGCAAGCCTTGATGCAGCTGTAAGTCTTAATTTTAACATGATGGCTCCAGCTAAAGCCAGGACATCATTCACACATGCATCTTCACTCCCACCTCTGCTGTGGCTCATCACAGCTTGTAGCAAGTGTGCAGCCTACACTTGCGGCATGACAGGCCTTTTTTCTGCCATTCTCAAACATGCAACTGATCATTTCCAAAAATCCCAACTCTCTTGAAAGATTTCTTTTGTTAAAATGTCTTACACAGTCCAAAACTGATGCAAAGGGGATTAAAAGGCTACTCCGGTTGACGTGGCTAATCTAGATGTTTACTTCAGTGCTTTAGCTGTCAATGTGCCTCATCCAGAATACATTAGATCACAGTCTCAGTTGTATATGATATATATACAATTAACATTCACCGATTCCACACACCCCACGTTGTCCGGTATGCATCAACGGACTGGCATATATTTAGAGCTACAGACATATGTGTTATAACAAAATACATCCAACACACAACATTTGAATCAATGATTCACAAATCACAACTGGTGGGTCGGAACCTAAAAGTGGTAGGCAGACTCAGCTAGTTAAAATAAAATGTCAGGTATTTGTATTCAGATTTTTTTAGAACAGTTCTGAAGTACCCAAATAGATCACACACTATTGGGTATACGTCCGAAAATGTTACCCATCTGTGCTCTTGTGACTAGTTACCATGTACACAACTACAGTGAAATTCAGAAATCATAGTAAGCGATACTGTATACTTTTGGGAGAATCACAAACTCATTTGAAACTGGGTTTTAAAGTGGAACATACTGTATATGTATTTTAAGAGGGTACATTTCAACAACAAAAAGATGTGGGTCCCAGTGTTACAACAGTTGAGAACTATTCATGTTTCTTGTGACTGCTTGGCCGCAAATATCTGCACGTTTTTATCCGAATGAATCGTTTTACACTCTATAGTTTCCAAAGCACCCTGAAACTGGTTGAAATATCGCCACGTCTGGTTTTAATAGTAACTGCTTAGCTATTGATGTTACAAATGAACAGTATACGTACAAGGATGGCGTAAAACATGACGTAAAATTACACCGGGAAGTTTAGATGCAACGCCGCACTCTTTTCCACCTGTGCTTGCAAGCAACCCTGCACTCGGCTGTGCCTTGATTTCGAAAAGATTAACATGTAATACATCAACACAATCAGGTCTGTTAAATCGATAATAGAGAAGAAAAACGTTACCCGAGAGCGAGCTGTCACTTCGCACACGAACTACATGCTAATGCTACATGCGTTAAGCTAGCAAAGCAGCAAACTCCTCTTGGGAAGTATAAATGACAACGAACACCGCACAAGGAAACTGCGCTTCATTGTACAACAACTGTGATATTGTTTCGGAATGCTTGGCTCCGGAGGCCAGAGTTGAAAATTGTGAATTCTGCTAAACCCATGTGGTGCAACAAAAATAAACATGTAACCAGCTGTTATCATTAGCTAGCGTGTTAGCATGCATCGCGATGCACTGCAGATCGTGACGCGAATTGAGCGTAACCTTTAACCAGGGCATGCTAACCTCAACTCGGCGAAAAAGCAGAAACAATATTGAGCAAGTAAACATACACAAACCCACCTCACTATTAACGTTGTTTATCTCCATGTTGTGCCAGGATTCCTCTCTAAATCTAAGGCATCGTAGTCCACCTACACCCCCGCTCCAAAGTACATGCTTTCCCCCACTGTAAAATCCCGGCTGCTCGGCTTGATCGTTCGTGGGGGAAGATGCGTGGAAGACCGTGGACCACTATCGGAGTGGGATTTTGGTAAGGGCGCGTGGGTATTTGATGTTAATGATGGGACCATGCGCTTTGCAGCGTTACCGTTACCCTGCCATAGCTGCGAATATGGCGGCTACTGTGTTAACTGGTCAGTGAATGAGTTTATTGACGTATTTGTGACGCAATTCAGTTAAGGATTTCCCCCTATCCACCGCAAAGCACCAGGTCGACGACAAGAATAGGGGCAGGCTTCGCAAACAACGCGACGTATTTAAAACACCGCAGCAAAATAAATGAACGTATCGCATCGGCTTTCTGTTGACATCAGTTCACGTTTCGGATTCCCGGGAGTTAAAGCTAAATGTTGAAGCCTGACCATCTCTTGCCCTGGGCGGAATAAGAGGCTTTAAAGCTCATCCACTTTCACTCCAGCTGTTTTTCTCCCACCAACAAAGGCTGAGGATATTCTATTTAGGCTTGCTCACAGAAAGCACATGGCCACAAAGAGTCTGAAAAATGTACGGTATTTCTCAATGCTTGTGATTTGAGGGGTTTTTTTTACGACTGCTACGCCAATGTTGTAATGCAGCCTGTTTCTTGAGCTACGTAAAAGGCCGATGATGAAAGAATTATATGTACTGTATATGTAGTTTTTGATGGATAAGAAACAATCAATCACACGTCAGTTGGAAGTTCTTTATTCTTTTCTCCAGACTTGACAAGAGCAAGGCAAATGATGTGCATCAAAAATGAATTGAATGAGACAACCTTCAATCCACAGGCACTAGGCGCAAAGCATGTGTTTGTAACGATGAATAGTTAGTGACTCCTGTTTAAAATACGTTTCTGTGTAGCATCTGGAAACATTTGTTTGTGCAGAGGTGTTGTATACTGTATACGAAATACTTAGTCATTTTCTTGCTCTCCTTGCATTTGCTCCTCTGATACAGAGGGCTGAGTAACTTCAATGTAATTGTCTTTGATGTTCATCAATGGGGAGCCTTTGACTGTAAGCTCCTGCGTATGCTCAATACCACTTGTTGTCATAGTAATGTGGTACTTGGATGACTTTTCTTCTGACACAACATCAGGCAGAGTTCCTCTGTCCTTGGTCATGTCCCACACCGGGTCCGAAGGCTGAGGTAGACTGGCAATGAGTTCCTGAACATACAATGATAAAACCATAAAGAAAACACTTGACAAGTTGAGGCTGGCATTCATATTAAACATATTGTTGAATGTACTTGCTGTTTTTCCACATCTTTATTTCTCAGAGCACTAAGCAGCCTATTTGTGAAGCTTGCAAGGTCCAGGTATTTTTGTTTTTGGTTCTCTAGCTCATTCTCTAAGAACTGCACTTCCTCATGCTGAAAAGTTAAAAAAAAAATTGAAGTTATGTCACTTAGCAACACAAAAGATTCTTCAGAAACTATTTGGTTAGAATGTCAAGACACATTTTTGCAACATCTTTTTGTGTGTGTCCTCACCTTGAATTCAAGCAAGCTTTGCATCTGCTCTAGATCTACGGGCACCATTTCACCCTCGTCGTCATCTTCCACATCATCCTTATCAATCACTTCAACTTTCTATAAAAAAACAAAACAAAAAAAATAATCAACACATTTTGGCATTATAATAAATTATACACTCATGGGCAAAATTGTCGGTAGCCCTCTGCTAAGAAAAGGAAAAACTCAGTGGTCACAGAAATAACTTGAATCTGACAAAAGTAATAACAAATAAAGCCACCTATGAAACTAATTCAAGGACACACCCTAGTTGAATGTGTTCCTATGGTCAAGTGACCGGTATTTTTCAATCTTTTCTTGTTTCACAAGTTTGTTTTTGAAAATAATTTAGTTGAACCACAACTCAAAAGCAACGTCTAATTTTCATTGCATTTTTATTTATTATTACTTTACTGTATGTTTTTCTTTCATTAACCAGCAATTTAGTCCATATGTCCAACTGACGGTATCTATTAACTAACAACTTAACCAACAGGCAAAATAATTTCTCAAATCTGTAAAGCTTTGGTTGATTTACCAGACCAGCATATGCGTCCTTAATTTGCGCCTTGGCAAAATGAAAAAAGAATATGGCTATTAAAAAATGAAAACCTTAAAATAAATCAATGTCACGGTCATCAGCAGCATGCTTACAATGTTTTTTTTTTCAATTTAGAAAAAAGTCCAAAAAGTGAAAGCACAGCAAAGCTGCTGTCGCATGTACCGTTAATCATGACAGTATTTGTAAAGAGTCTAAATGAAGCAAGACTGAATTATAGAGGGAGACATATTTAAGTACCACATTGGCCAGCGGCGCAGCACCAGTCACATTCACTCCATTTTCATCTCTCTGTTGTGAGTCAGGGGTGCTATCTAGAGGTAAGAGCTCTGCATTACCACCAAGTTCCACAGTTCAATGAGAGGTAAACGATGATGTGAGTGTTACATCAGAGGCCACACCTTCAGAGAGGCAGAGAGATACCCCGTCATTCAAGTCATCTCCGAATTCGGGTGTTCGAAGACGATCTTCTTCGGGGCTAAATGCCACCGGCGAGTCACCTCTGGGGGAACTCGTGTTTGTGAATACAGCAGGCCCACCTTTAGGCGGGGGTATTTCAATACCCATGAGACGGTACTTCCTTCGTCTGTTGCTAATCCATGTCTACCAGCCAGGGACAAAATAAAGACACAGTGGTAGTAAGTGACAATGATGTGAATAAAAAAGGTGAGAAGGTCACATTTCGATCGGATAAAAGCATAGAATGAATTAAATTTAACATCTCACATTTCTTTTTAAAATGACAAATGTACATGCTGTATTATATATTCCACAAACCCATGTTGTCGACAGCATTATAATTTTAAATTACAGTACACTTGAAGACCTCGATGTGTGGTCAAGGTTGAACAACTGCGTCCTGTAGGTGGCGTTCAAGTCCGGTGTTCTTGAGTACAGGCTTTATCTCAAATCCTAACAGTCTCAAGTAGCAGTCATGCTTTATGACTTGGCAAGTGTGGTCAAATTTTGTACTGATACTGTTTAGGTTGGATACATTGACCGGATATCCAGACACAAACCTAACTATGATTTTTTCTTGTTGAAGTTTTTGATGTCGTATACAACAAATCTTGAGTGTGGAACATGAAAGCCTAACGTCGACCTTCTAACTTGATGAAAAGCTTAGTCTACGCAACAGAATTCTGCAGTTGTTCCAAATAGATCTTCAATTGTCCTTCAAAGCACAACAATGTTAGAAACTCCTACCTCCAAAATGGATTTATATCAACACCAAAAAAAGACATGGTACATTTAGTTTTACCTTAACTATTTCAGTATCTACATTGAGCTGGTTTGCTGCAGCAGTGATCTTTTCCCTGCACACTGAGCCCAGGCTGGTCATGCCCCTGTCCCAGTAGCGTTTCAGTTCAATGATATCCCCATCACTGAATTGGGTGCGATCCTGCAACTGAACACAGTGAACGAATGTGACAAACTTTGTACATGGGAGACAAGAACCATATCTTAGCAAGGATTAAAGACATCAACACTGCAAAAAGCAATGGTCATCATTTTTTTTTTTTTAATCAGAGATTCTGGCAAACTTTTACGAATGTTTTTTTCCCCGATTCCGAAACTGCCCTTGTCTTTACTCTAGCACATCGAATGTTTATGATAATAATAATTACTATTGTTATTATTTATTAAGGGTTAGATTCAGCATCAGATGGATGTTTTTCTGAAGTCATAGCTATAAATGACAACGCACGGTAAAATATGTATTGCGCAAGCTTTTTAGGCCAAACTTAAAAACAAAAATATTAAATGTCAAAACCGTGATGTGGTTAACAAAAATTAAAAAAACAAAACAAAACAGTAAAGATATTTTTATAATCTGCGTCAAAAATATGTTTAGGTAAAGCCAAACTCACATTTAAATTTGCTTGCATTTATTTCTTATATTTTACACATTTCTATTCAAAAAGTGTGGTTAAAGTTAATAAGAATTACCAAGAAGCAGTCCTGAATAGTTGTTAATTCACTTGTTTCTTGATCAGAGTAGGTTAAAAAAAAGTCCCTCAATGTTAAATTTTAATTTTCAGTCCCTCAATGTTAAATTTTAATTTTCAGTCTCTCTCTCTCTCTCTCTCTCTCTCTCTCTCTCTCTCTCTCTCTCTCTCTCTCTCTCTCTCTCTCTCTCTCTCTCTATATATATATATATATAAAATACAGTACGTATTCTTACACACACACACACACACACACACATCATGTTAACTTAACCTGCACAGCAGAGCTGAATGAAAATATAAAAATCTACCTTTACAAAAGATAATAATGCTCAGTTTGCTTGACACCGTCAGTGAAGTCAACAATGTGATAGAACTGCTGACGAAAACATCTTTCAACTATTGACTTTGTCCGTCAGAAAGAAAATAATTCTAACAGCTCAGTGCAATTGAAGGAACGATGTATAGAAATCAGTGTCATCTAGTGGTGAACGAGAGAAAGAAGAAGAAATGACATTGGTGTGATAGAACATATGTATTTTTTGTACATCAGTGAAATTAATAGTGGGTTTTGAAACAAAAACTGAGAAATCAACACACTTTTACACACTGTCCCTTTAAGTACAGTTCACTACAACCACAACATATTTTTCAGGTAATATATCTCTCTCCAATAGTGACAGTCAAACTTGAGCATTAGTGTTTTTGTAAAGGCACATTTTAATAGAATCATAAGGTACATTTTCTTTGTACATTTTCTGCACTGCCAATTTGAAATTAATTTTATATTAACGGTATGGATGGACATTTTGAGGAGTTCTTTGCACTGGATTTGGCACAATGGAACTCACTGTTCTTTTTCTGGAGTTGCTGATAACCCAAGTGGCAGCACTGATTGAAGTCTGTAAACAAATAAAAACCCAATCAGACTCATGCTTTCAATTCACTCAGCTGGACAACTTCATAAAACCTTTCCTACCTGTGAGCTGTCATCCCCAGAAAGTGAGGTTTGTGTGAAGGAGTAGCAGCCCTGATGAGTTGAGTTGCTATTAATCAGCAGATTTGGGGAGTGGGCCGTAGTCAATGAGTGGCTCCCTTTTACCAAAGACGTTCTCTGCTCCTGATGGATGTTATTCTGAGCAGCCATGTTTGCCAACTCTTCTTCCCTTTGCCACTCATCTTCTTCATCTGCGGTTTCCATGGCAATGGAGAAGTTATGACTGGTATCCAAAGTGCGTGGAACTGGCCTCTGCATTTCCTGGGCTTTTAAAGCAAAACCCAGTCCAGACTTATTTCTGATGCCCTCACTTCTTTCTGCTATCGTGAACATCTGCTGGACGCAGGGTGTCTGCTCTGAGGTAGGACTCGAGTTTTGGAGTGGGAGGGACAGACGGGTTTTCTGTGGGGCTGGGGCAGGTGGTTGCGGATTGGTCTCAGACCTGGGCTGAAGTTGAGCCTGGGACTGAGGGGAAGAGGGCCATGTCTGAGTCTGTGCAGTGCCATATGGTCGAGTCCAGCTGGGAGGTAGGCCTCCTACCCCTGCAGTCAATCCTACATCCCTGAGGGACAAACTTGTTTTCATGTCCCTTCCAGCAGTGTAGACCAGAGACGCAGAGGCAGACGTGAGGGAAGGCAAATTCTGAGAGAGTGACACAAGCTTGGAGTGAAGAGACAAGGAGCTGCAGGTAGTTCTACTTTGCACAGCCTTACTGAGTAAGGAGCAGGGAGGGAGAGGTGAGAGCTCAGTATCTGACTGTAGGGAACCTGTGGGTTTTGGCCGGGGGCGAGTGTTGGAGTTCTGGGAGTAAATACTGGTCTGTATGACGTCATTTTTGTTGTTATTGTTCCCACTGCTGATAGGAGAGGGAGAAGAAGCAGAGGAAGATGATGGAGGGAGAAGGTGCGCACGATTATGGATATTCCGTACGACAGCGAGTTCAGCTGGGAGCAATGTTGCTGCAGACAGCCCATGATTGGACAGAGCTCCTTGAGCTAATGAGTGACTGGACAACAGTGCCCCAGCAAGTCCATGACTAGGTAAGGGATGAGACAAGCCTCCATTCAGATCTCCCTTAGATGCAAGTTTCCGCCTTTTGTTTCCAACCCACGTCTATAGGGAGAAGTACAAATCAATAAATAATACTAACACGGAACATTGCAGAGACTAACTGAGTTAAATGAAGACACAATCTAGTTGCCATTTCTTTATCCTTACCCGGACAACACTGAAGTCTAGTTTGGCCTCCTGAGCACATTGCAGTATTAGCTGGAAACAAGCCTTGCTCTGATTGGTCATCCCATTATCATAGTAACGCTCCAGGATCATCTGCTGCTCCACTGTGAATACTGACCGCAGGTTCATCTAGAAAGCAATCATCAACAGTGATGCTAGTGGTCATTCCTTTTCGCTATTTTGTGTACTCTATTACCTTTGTAGCCAACAAGACACTTTTATAGCTTTCATTCTGACATGTAAGTTTAAGAAGACAGAAGACAAGTATGTGTTATAATTGGGACTACCCAGCTATCCCGGACAGTCAATACAGTGTGATATTAAACAAGGCAGCACACAAAAAAGGAGGCCAAACCACAGCCTAATGAAATGCTAATTTTACTATTTCAACGTTCCCTTCGCACACTTCTATAAGTCCGAGTGTTTTTTTCCCCCATGAAAGCAGTAAATGTTCTCCTAAACGAATGCATATGCAATACAGTACTCACAGTCTGGAGGCCACGCCTCTGTGGCCATGAATCCATGCTGCTACTGGACGGGAATGGAGCTGCCATGCCGATCACAGCGAAACATCCATGACTTTTTGTTGTCACATCGTGTCTCAGTGCACCCGAACCACTGTTAAGCAGTGTAACCAAAGCAGAGAACTTTAAAGTTTAGTTTGAACAGTAAATACTGCCCTCACTCCAAATAAAATTTGGCATCCATCCATCCATCCACTCGTTACCCCGATACGGAGCAAAATCAAGCTGTTGTCCCCATGCCATTATGATGGACGCTCGCTTTGAAAGGGCAATCGCAGGATTGTAGTAACAGGTAGGTTAAGGCGTCACAATTGAACTAAAAGTATTGACCAACTTAGTAAACCCATATCAGGAGGTTGAAAACGAACACGCACAAAATCACATGGACTGTTGCATGACCAATAAGCATGCAGCGGCTTTATTTTGGCAGGCTCACTGCGCATGGCCACAGTCTGCAAAGGTAACAGTTAGAGCGATAATTAGCATCGCCTCTTGCGCGAGGATGCACGGGGATCGAGAAATAAACCTCCCACTCAGGTAGCGCGGACCTAAACAGTTTGCTATGGACAAGCACGTAGAAAACGAACCCCGGTAAGCTGCACATCGGCACACTATTTCCGAGCGTAGCTTGCAGGCCCGAGAAGCCATGTTTGTACGAGCAGACGCGAGCTAGCATTAGCAAACCTTTCTTAGGGCAGCTGGAGCTAAACTTTTCCTTTCTACCCGAGATTTCTAGAGCTCTGCCGCTGCCATTTCACTGACCCTGGCTTCGAGCGAATAAAAACACAAAGCTGACGGGAAACAACTGGGACGAAAAGTGAAATGACGTCCATACTCGCTTTGTCCAATTCAGATGATGCTCTTAAATTCAAGCAGATTTCTTTCCCACAGTCCCCGTTGCGAGACAATGAAATCAGACCGTCAGATCATCAATTCTAATCATGATTGTGACGTATGCCCGGATGGGGGCCAATGGGAGCGCGAGATCATCGTGTTGACATCCGGGGAGGGCTGGAAACTGAGCAGTCCCGCCCCTGGTCTACTTTGGCCCTCAACGGATTTTCATTCACTGCCATCTTACGCGAAAACCTCTACCGGTGAGCGTTTGGAGTTTTCTACGTAGACATCTCTTTTTAAAGCGATCTGATGGTAAGTTTAGTCCCAAATGGAGCTCGTTCTTAGTGTTTTTGTAGGTACATCGTTCATGAGCTATTTTAAACTGAGTTCAATGCAAGTAGGCAATTCAATAGGGTCATTTGAATATTAAAACAAAAAATCGCATGTTTGCATTGTAATTATATGCTTAAATGTTCATTCTTTGTGCAGTAGGATGTTTTTGGTTTGTCTTTATAGTTGAATGCTTTTATATTTTGTGGCGTTTGGGTGGCTTTTTTATTATTAGCAGCTCTGAACGTGGACGAAGACGTATTTAAAATTCTGTCGTCTGCTTAAATGTTCATATCATGTGTGTCTTATGGTACAATTGGATTTGCTTTCATTTCTAAACGTATGCGTTGCATCTTTGGTGTGTGTGGGTGGTGATTTGGGGTGGTTTCACTGAAGGTGAATGAATAGGGAAGAGATACCTATTTATTTTAATCAATGTAATGTGGAATCAAAGTTAAAAAGAGAGAGGAGCTGTAGACCGAAAGTGGACACAGTATTTACTTATTCTGAAAGTTTTTTTCTGTTTTGTTTCGTATGAAATCCCCATGCAATTGTGTTAAACATGGATTTTATACAATGTATTTGAAAGTGAATTTTCCGTTTAAATGTGGCAGTTTTTGATATGGTTGGAGGTGAACAACGTTTCATTTCTACATATAGTTGATGACTAGAAAAGTGTTGTTTTCTTTCCTGGTAGTGTAAAGGTGGTCTATAAATGGAGTCTATCGTCACCATCAACCATCACAGGGCTCCAGACGAACTTTTATTGATTTATTTTTTAACTAAGAGCGTGGTGTGGCCCTTAGCCTGCAATTTTAATAATAATAATAATAAGAAGAAGAAGAAGAAATTTTATTTATAGGCGCCTTTCAGTTTAGTTGTCTAAGTAGAATATTTAGGGTGTGCACTGTCAGCCAACTTGCGATGTAATCAAACACTCCACTCTGGAGTGTGGCGGCAGAGGTGGTACCATACTGACCATCCGCCATGACGTGCTTGTATTCTGTAAAATGAGTGGAGTCTCCACATTGGTTCTCCTGTTTTTAGTTTTTCAATATTTTTATTACGTTAATATTACTATGAATAACATTTTATTTTTTCATTTTTAATCTAATCTTCACTAACTCTAAAACTGAGTAAAATCAAATATTTTATTTCAAAGCTATACATTGCATTGCTGCCATCAAACTAAAAACAGATGATATGCAAATCAATGGCATATGGGAGAATCATATGACCGCTATTAATTTATACTAACACTAACCCCACACTAATTAATTACACGCATTCATTGTCAATGTGACCTTCAGATTTGGAATTAACTTGAATCTTCTTTTCCAGTCCCTTGTGCCGTGGTCTTCAGGTCAAGCAAGTTGATCTGTTCTCAACACCAGAAGATGTGGATGAAGAGAAAGCTTCAGGATCCGGCGCTGTGGCTGAGTTGTCAGCCTGGTGCTCACGCTCAGAGTGGGCAACGTCATCTTTTGGTGAAGTCTTCCCTGCATCCGACCTTGTGACAGTGCTGCTGTCCCGAAACTTTAACTCCATCCCTTCGTCATTTGGTAGCACGAACCGAGATCATGGTCAGAATGAGGAACACGTATAAGCTGCCGTGTCTCTAGAGCTATCCCCAGTCACAGTTGTATGTGCTTTGAGGTTGTACGTAGTGCAATCCTGATGTGTTGTGCACATTTTAAAGAGATTAGAATTTGTTTTCTCTACACCCTTATTCTTTAACCACGCCATGTCTGCTGGCATGGGACGGTCACGAGCAAATGTCGGCACTGGCAGCCTTGCCGCCATGACGCTGTTGCAAGGTCTGCCGCAAACAAACGGTAGTAGTCAGCAGTGGCTCGAGAACCTTCGCAAATGCTCCACAAACATCCTGCCAACTTGATCTTCAAGAAACCCATATGTAAGACGGGCATTGAAAAGCTATGGCACACAGGCAAGTCACCGCTGGACAACAAAGTACTCTAGGGTACCTCCAGCAAAGTCTTCACGTCAGGCCACACCAGTACAGAACAAATTCCATGCCAGCAACAGCAAGTGATGGGCTGCATGATGATGCCAGGAAAATCACTGTTACCGCTTACAGCCAGTCAGCGTTCAGAGCGGCGATAAGCGGAAAGATCATAAGTTGGCTAGACTCTGTCTACATATGTCGCCTGGACGAGGCACCATTTTGTATTTCTGTATGCAAGTGATATTCTGCTTCTAATACTGAGTGTAATTGTGTGCTTTTATTAAAATGATTTTGGAATCATTCCTTTCTGGCCCTCTCTTATGTCTCTAATTAAATGTTTAATTATCATTTCTAATCTTATCACCGCGTGACAAAACTGGACAACCAGAGACTGGAGAGACAGAAGGTGTGACCAAATAATGTGCCAATTATATTTCCATACACAACCACGTGGACTCAAACTGCTACTCCTGGCTGCAGCACACAGCTCCGTCAGGCTGACAGTTTTCTTGAGTGGATTACAGTATTGAAATCTGGTGAGCAACAAAAGTTGGAAAGAAGGAATTGGACAGCCCACGGGCCAAATATGTACTGTACTGGTGATTTTCCTATGCGGATAGCTGCATTGTTGGGCATGAAAAATCACCTCCAGTATTAATTTTTTGCCCAGATTAATGCAAAGTGCTGCTCGTTTATTAACACTTTTGAGGCTACTTTTGGTTTGACTATTGTACATGTAAAGTTATTCATACTAGACTTGACATAATTATTTTTTCTAGAAATCAGACTCACTACCTGTATTATTTTAAACTGATTATGGTTTTGTCCGTCACATGTACAATGAATGACCCCTGGCTCAAAGATCACGATAAAAGAAGGGAAAAGGGATTTCACAAAGATATCATTCTACTAATGTCTTTGTTTTAGCAAATAACTTTTACTAGTATAGCGACCATTTACAGGAAAAGTTATCCCAAGGCACTTAAATAGAGCATATCTAGAGCTGCTCCTCGTATCAAGTAAACCGTGCATTTGTGGCGGACCGGTGACGCGTTATTCCATGACGTCACAAATGTCTCATATGCACAGCAGGGGGCGCTGTCCCTCTCCGGTGATCGCTCAATCGAGATGCAGATGCAGACGACTGTTGCGGATTTCCCCGTGCATGGAGTGTGTATCTTGATCATTAGTCACGCACACAACACCTTTTTGGGTTGAGGCAGCCTCAACAAGAATGCACCAACTGTTCTCTCACTAAGCACGATTAACACTTGAGAGTTTCACAGGTGCTCGTTTCTATTATAATATTTTATGTTCTATATTTGAAATCATTTTCATTCGTCCCCTAAACGCTCTTTGACCCTGCGTGTTTGAAAAGTGTGCATAGAGGGAGGAGGGGGCGCGGAATGAGATCCTCTCTGCATGATGTGCGTTGCACCATTCCCCGGTCTGTATTGTGCGAGGTGGCCCTTATGATGCTGCAGCGAGGTGGGCTGGGGGAGAGGAGAGGGGAGGGGTCGCTCCCATCGAATCCCCTTCTCACAGCGCGCGAGCTGCTGGCGGGAAGGCACGAGAAAAAGAAGGAGAGGGGAGGGTAAGGCGGCAGGGAGCGCGTGTGCGCGCGTCTGCCTCTGCGTGCGCGTAGATTGCACCACCGCATCCCGTTCACCGTTTCTGCAGGGGGCCATGCTCCGATGGAGGGAATAAAACCGACAACCGTCTCTTTACACTCTGAATGATCCGGCACCACGTCACTCCAGATGTGACTGACAAGTCGTTCTATGTAGCCTGCTTTCACTCCTGTGCTGTTTAACGCAGAGAGGCTGTGACATCATGGCTTTGGTTATGGAACCTATAAGTAAATGGACACCAAAGCAAGTGCTGGACTGGATGAAAGGTGAGTTATAGGATCCCTTCTCTGCGTCACGTCAACGTCCGGCTTGTATGTGATCTGACTGAGGATTACGGGATGGTGGTGAAGTGAGCAGCGGTGGTCACACACTGCATGCATGGAGCTTTTCGTACCTGAATGAGTGAGTGGAGGTGGTGCAGTGAGATGGGTTTCCTCCCTCCAAAAAGTGAGGACACTCAGCATTTATTGTGCATTACAGTATATGGTTTCTTTGAGAGCGAGCCTTGTAAGGCAAACCTACAGGCTGCTGCCGCTGATGGTGCTGATGCGGTTGGAGTAAGCCCCATGCAGTGGCCTCATCAATGAATGTGGAGGATGTGTCATCTGCTCCTTTCACTGACACACTTGAAGCTCATGTCATCGTTCGTGTGTGTGTGTGTGTGTGTGTGTGTGGGGGTGGTGGGTGGGG